TAGACTGATTGGCAGGGAGCTCTTTTAATTATTTTAACTGTCTTGACCATTGATTTAAGGTGCTCACGGACTCCAATTAATTTCATTCACTTCGAAACAGCAAAAAACCAACGAAGAGTGCTTACGTTGCTGAAATATTGGTATTCTGATTCAATTCTTATATTTCTGTTTCTAGGAAGTCTGCCGGAATAAATTTCTTGGCTTTGAAATAATGTAAGTGCAGCCCTTTTGTTAGCTAGACAGTGATACCAAATGCTTGTATGTCTTAATGCTCGCCTTATTCATTCCTGGAGCTTGTGTTGCACAACTGATTTTATCAGAAGCTACATGATGGTGCAGTAATTTGTACTGGGTTTGAGACTAGTGTCAAAACCAGAAACACCTCCTATGTTTGCTTCTGCTTTTCTCTTTCTTTCTTTTTTTTTAAGTGAAGTTAGTAAAATAATTTGTGAGTAACATGAAGTTCTCCGCCCCCCTGCCCCATTTTATCCTGAGTTAAGAACATACATTAAAAGGTTATAAAAGAATAGAAAGTTCCCTCTTTCTTGGGGTGCCTGAGTGGCTCAGTCTGTTGAGCATCTGACTTTTGATTTCGGCTCAGGTCATGATCCCAGGGTCTTAGGATTGAGTCCCGTGTCGGACTCCCCACCAAGCATGGAACCTGCTTAAGATTCTCTCTCTCTCCTTCTGCCTCTCTGCCCTGCTTGTGCTTTCTCTCTCTCTAAAAAAAAAGTTCCATCTTTATTCTGGGATGATGTGAAAAGACATGTTCATAGTAATTTGGCTGTGGAAAACATCCCCAAATGACAGGTTCGTGGTTTTAAATATAATTGCTGTTGGGTCATTGCTGTTGTACATTGTATAGATGCCCCCAAATCCACAAAGAACACCATAAGACATTTAACCTAAAAAGTATACACTGGAACATACAAGAACACCAGAAACTGATGGTCAAGTTTTAGGATCAGGGAGATGTGCTACCCTCGCTAATAGCCCACAGGAGTGCAGGTAAAGAGTGTGCTGTGCCTTCCTAGGGAAGAGGTGCTGTGCTCTCAAAACATTTTCCCCCTATACATGCATTTTGCCCTGAAACCCTGTGTCCAATGACATGGCAAATTACTTCCTAGTTCAGTGCCAAGTATTGGAATTTTATTAATTTATACTCTACTTCTTCCAAAGGATTTGAATGGCAACAATGAAACTGAAGTTAAGAAGATGATGTTAAAGTTCCATTCCTTCTACTTCTGTGACATTTGATCGGACAAGAAAATTTTCCTTGTCCGTAAAATGGGTTCTCCAACTGTGACTGTCTGCCCCCTGGGGACTGCTCTCGTGAGTCAATAGTTCTGGAAAGCACGTAAATTGTGAAGGGTTATATCTGTGAAACAACACCGAAGGGCTCTAGACACCTTGTGGGATTTCGATCTGTAGTTATTTGGGGACTACATCATTGTTGAGCTCTACTTGAGACCCAAGTGATTCGCCTACGTTCCATGAGAACATTGGTGTTGAGTGTGGAACGACCTTCCTGAGATTTCTGAGTGGCTTGTAGTGTCCAGGGCGCCCCCTTTGAACTGCCCAGAGCAAAAGATCAAGGAAACCAGGAACACAGTCTGATTTTAAATCAAAAGTTATGACTTTATTTTTAATTTTAGTATACCAAGAAAAAATATTTCTTTGAACGTTGTGAAATAAGCACTTGAAAATAACAACTCCAACATTGCTGTGATTGGCTCTGTGAAGCTACTATGGGTGAGCTTCTATCTGAACATAGGCTCTGGGGCCCTGAAGAGGCTGAATCTCTCAGTGGTTTTCAAGTTAGCAGCAAGCAACCTCCTCCTGAACATGCCCAGACAGTCAGACCTGTCTGAAACCGACATGCCTGGGGAGCACGATTAGGCTACTTCTGAAGAGTTCTTGATTTCTACCCACTGAGAGCGGTCTCACGAGCCAAGTGTTGAGAAATTAACAGTGTTTAAATACTGACGTGAGTCACGACCCCTCAATCCTGGCCTAAGTGGGTTGCAATTATGGCTTGACCCTGATTTACAGGACCAGTTTCTTGAATCTAACGAGTTGCTTCAGAAGTTTACTACAATGTAGTGTTGGGTTTAGATTTCCACTGAAGTGGATCTGACTGCAAGACTTCTGTCTGCCTGACGTAAAATTAAAATGCCCTTATTAAGACCTTCCCAAAACCACAGATGGGTGTGCACTTGTGGCTTCTCTTTTATTTTAGTGTCAGAACAACTTCTGTTTCACTTTTTTCTAAGTGCCATTCAGGAGGAAGGGCAGCCTGGGGGTTACTCTCCCTCCTTGTGTGAGCCCTGAATTTTTAACTTATTTAAGGATGAGGAAAGTTAATGGGATGATTCAACAGGCTTGTGAATATTCTTCGATACTCTGTGCAGGTGTTCTTAGCTATGGGCTCTGCCACGTGGCTGGTGGTTAATAATTGGAGTCTGTCACAACTGGCATTCAAAAAAATGCTGTAATAGCACTGACACTTGTTTTGCTTAAGTATTGGGTACCAGCAGACCAAGGCTGTCCGTTCATTGGAAAACTGCTTCCTAACACTTCATACTGATTGTTGGCACAAAGAGACTATCGTTGCTTTATTAGCTCTCACTTCAGTGTGTATATACTACAGGCCAGACCTTGTAGTGCATTCTCAGCAAAATCTCTTCTTGATGGTAATGGGTCTGAGGCACGAAGAATCAGGTCTCGTGTGTAAGTATGAGACAGAGAACAACTTAAGAAAGCTATAGGAGACAGTGACTCACAGCATGAACTCTCATCTTGAATCAATAGCAAAATATTATTGGAAACAAAAAAAACTAGACTACTGGAAAGTTCTAGACTTTCATTATGGAATTTTCACAAAATTACACTCTTGGAGATAGAAACTTTTTCAGGGAAATAAGTGTCTAGAAGACAGGCATACAACTCAGAGCACTCAACCCTCAACTCTGGGAGGCAAAGTCTACTGAATCTTCTCCACTCCACTACCAGCTCTCTGGAATCAGCACGTGGCCAATCCAACAGCTCTGAGAGACAGAAAAAAAAAAGCACTCAGAATATGCTGGCGCTGGCAGTTGTGTGACACCTGGTCTCTGAGGGGAGGATGCTTTATCAGTATAAAGATGAGAGAGTAGCCTGAGGATGTTGTCTCTCCCAGGAAATGTTGCAGTCTGGGAATGAGGCCAGACTTCTGGAGCATTCTACTCAGTGTAGTTTACTCCAGGCACATTTGTTTCTTTGATGTGCCAAGTTTTATCATAAAGACACCACATCTGATTTTTCTTAAGAAATGTTTTCTGGAAAAAAAAAAGGGGGGGGGTGCGCCTGGGTGGCTCAGCCGGTTAAGCATCCAACTTCGGCTCAGGTCATGATCTTGCCGTTCGTGGGTTCGAGCCCTGTGTGGAGCTCTGTGCTGACAGCTTGGAGCCTGGAACCTGCTTCAGATTCTGTATCTCCCTCTCTCTGCGCCCCTCCCCCGCTCATGCTCTGTGTGTGTGTCTCTCTCTCTCTCAAAAATAAACATTAAAAAAAATAAAATAAATTTCTATAGGTCTCTTTCCCAGAAGTGCTCTACCATTGTGCTCTGCAAAACCCCTACCCAAATGAAGTTTCTGACTCAGCCCAGAAACACATTAGTAGAGAAGCAGGGAAGTGAGAGTGGTATAATCAGTCCATTCTTTCCCCTTAAGCAATATGTATATAATATATATGTATTCTCCCTTCCCTGTAATTTTTATACTGGAGTGTGAATAGGATGGTGAGAGTAAATTATCTGGAATAATAACCTCAATAGAGGATTTTAGTTTGGTACTTTGGCCTGGCAGGAATTTAAATAATATAGTATTTACTCTTTTCTCCATAGCAAAACTAGAAGGCCCAGATAAAACCTCCTGTTCTATGAATAGAGCGTTTTTCACTAGAATATTTTTCTACCGCAAACTCACAGACTTGGGCCGATACTCCGACCTGGGGCATCAAATTGCATGCACTTACATATGACATGAAGGATGTTGGTTTGTTTTTCAATCCAGAAATGTTTTCACCATAGTGAGATTGGAATGCAGTGGAAAATCTCCAATAGAAAGATAATCTACCTGAGCATAGCGGGGCAGTTCTAAAAACTTGCCTGCCCAAGTTTTTCTGGAATGTTAACTGACAGTAGGATTATCTATACGGCAGTCAATTCTCTGGTAGTATTCAGATTTGCCAGGGGCTAGTGGTCCAGCCTCTTATCTTGATGTAATTAATTAATTAATAAAGCCAAGACGTTAAAAATATTGTTTTCGAACTGTAATACCAGAACTTTTTCTTAAAGGTTTTTTTTTTCCTCCCACGATAAATGTCGGAAAAGACTTTAGATATATTTAGCCAATTTAAAAACTATTTATTAGACATTCAACCTGTAAACAAAAATTCTAAATTATCTCACAAGTGAACACAAGTATGAACCTGTATCAAGATCAAAGTGCTTTGGAAGCATCATTTAGAGTCTATTTAAGGTCTATGCTCATTTCCTTATTCTAACCTGCATTCAAGAATCAATGATAAATCAATGGATTCAATAATTAAATCAACCAGATAAGCTCTAACTGGTCCTTCAGTTAAACTCAAGTCAGCTGTTATTTGGCCTTTTCTTCATTTTAATTATTCTGCTCTTTTCCTCTTATAAGAAAAAAAAGCTTATTGCACAGTATCATGGATTTTCAAAGCTCAAAATAACATTATTTGCATCCAAAGAACCTAGTAGCTGTTATAGCAGGTCCCATCTTTTTAGCTCACGCCAGGTTTTGACTTAACAATCACAACACACCCCTCCATCAACTGTCTCTCATCTCTGAACAATGTCAAGACATCATAGACTATTCACAATAGTTTAACACAGATGTAACAGTTTTCCTCCCCTGCAAAGCCCCACCCCCACCCTGGGTCTATCAGTCATGACTTGGTTTGCATGGATTCTTTGTTCATTGTTCAAGCCATTCACACAGAATGGGATAAAACTTTATTCTTTTAAATTCCACACATAAACAAGATGCCAAGAAAGCCCTTGTCATCTCTGACAGAGAAGCAGAGCAGCTCTGTTTCATGAATGACAGCACAATTAAAGCTAAAATAATATAAAAATAATCTGAAAAATCCCTTTTACTGTACACTCTCAAATAAAGCAAGAAAGATAAACAACAGTTTTCTTTTCTGCTAGCCAGAAAACGTGTCTCTATTCATTTGGGCTTTGAAGTTGAGTGTACCCCACATTTGTGTGCATGTGTGTGTGGTTATGCGTGTATAGTCTATGCAGTGTAGCCGCTAATCATTTCATCTAGTTTGTCTAATCGTGAAGCTACTTACCCAATTAGAATACTAGTATATCACATTGAACAATTTTACATAATTGCGTCTCTGAAATACTAGGAATGTTTATACATTTATTTGGCTTGTAAAGGACTGAAATATTACAGATAATATTATATTATCTAGCTTTTTTTTTTTTTTTTTTAGAGAATATGGCTCTTATTAAATTGATTTTCTGAGTTCCAGAGCAAAAGTCCCTTTTAAAAAAATTTCTGAAGCGGACTTGAAGCAGGAGGAATGTCTTCTGACTTGGCCAAAAATATGACGAGTATTTTATATCATTTAAAATTTGAAGGATAGGTCTCTAAGGGGCCCTTTGTTGTCAACTGTTGCAGCCAAACTTGCCATGACGTGTCTGTTGAAGTATCTACACTTGACCAGCAGAGGGCACTTTACACACCTCTGCATTGCTTAGGGAGCAAATGCAGAGGATGCGGAAACACAGTGTTCACCCAATAATCAGGAAGAGCCCTGCAGATTTTTTTTTTTTTTGAAATTCACAAAAATATAGAAAATATGGACTGTACAACAGGGTTTCATTTGGAAAGTTATGAGTGTGTGTGAAGTCAGATAGAGAGGGGTGTTCGTAGTCTGTTGTATTCATCTTGGCCCTCTACCTTCCCCGCTGTCCTTTTCCCCTTTTCCCAGCTCAAGAGTGATACTGGGCTGGATCTTTTTTAACAGGTAGTACAGAATCCATTTTTAAGTCATTTGGTTGAGTTTTCGCTTTTCTATTTTGTATTTACTCTTCTGTTCCAAAGCCCGGGGCAACTGAACCAAGGATGATCCTTTCTAGTTCATTTCAGAGTAGAAATTACGGTTAGACCATCAGAAATGCTCTGAAACAGAGCTGCCCCTTTAGGAACTGGCTGCCATCCTCCCAGGAAGAACCTTGGAGAAATATCATGCCCCTTCTGGTTCTAGCAAACTCACTAGCCTGAGCCTATGCTATGAAGGGAAAGACACCAGCCTTTCTCTGAGCTGAAATACAATTGTTTGCATCCGTTTTCACGAGAGGTGATTAAGACATCTTTTCTTTTGGGGGCTACAGCTACTAACCTTTCTTAAAAAGGCTTTAATTTTTGCAAAAGCATTATTGTTCTAGATATACACCCTGTGTCTCTTCGATTTTGCCTATTCTATTGGCTCCAGTTTAGTGTCAAAAAAGATTAGAAAGGATTGTGTGTGTATGTGCTCGCACAGTTTTTTAAGTAAACTTCTTTCATTCTTAGAGAAATATAACACTTAGTAAATACTTTCTTTTCCATATAATGTTAATAGCCTTTACCTTCTATTTCTCTCTCCCAGTGCCTCTGGCTCACTTTTGTTCTCATTTGTCCTAGAACTGACAGTGAAAGAGGGAATGGATTTTTCCAGCAGCAGTCCTTTGAGATGGAGGTGCACTCAGTGAGTCCTCACCCAAAAAGGATCATAAACTTACTGGGTTAAGTCAACCTAATTATCCCTAAGCTGCCTTGGGTTTTGTGTTTGCTCATGTGTTTTGTTTTGTTTTGTTTTAGCTGCACCATATGTGATTCCTTGTGCCATTTTCTTTTGTCTATTGTTTTTCTTGATGACCCTGAGCTATGGCTTTCTCCTCTGTTCCAACACTATTCAGCCTTCGTTGCTTTCCTCATCTTGCCGATATAGGCCTCAAAGAAGAAGTGGCAGAAGAGCACAAGGTAGCTGAGGTACATGAGTGAGGACCAGAAGATGTTCTGAAAGTGAGAGGGACACTGGTCCTGCTGCATCCAGGAGAAGACCAGGTAGTTAATGACACAGCCCATCAGCATCTGAGTGATCTGGGACAAGGTGATGAACATGGCAAACTTCCGGGAAACTCGGAAACCTGCAGCTCGCAAGGCATAGTAAGAGTACATCACGGCGTGCACGCTATAGTTCATGGTCATGAACCAACCACCCCCGGCTACCATGTCCTTGTAGGAGTACCAGGAGTACAGGAGCACAGTGATGTGGTGGTACCAGTGCAGGAAGATCAGCTTTTGCTTCCTCAGAATAATGAATATTGTATCTCCTGAAAGACAGAGAAGGGGAAAAAATGTGCGTACATGAGCCTCTTGACCATGACATAATGGTAATTCACATGTTTACAAGAAGGTAGATTATCTTGAACTGGTACTTGGGAGGGGGATGGACTGGGTTAGAATCCCGGACTGATACTAGCTCTGTGAGCCTGGGCAAGTTACTTATTCTGTTTTCCAGTTTCTGTAAAATGGAGATGGTGACGGGGATATCAAGAGTAGCTTGGCAATGTCTGAGGACTAAATAAGATATCCAACATATCCTCTTGGCGCATGGAAAACACTCAATAAATGTTACTTTTGGAAACCTGTTTTACACAAAATCTTAATAAGTTTTCACGTAGAAGGGACATCAGCAATCATGCGACCCAATTTCTAACTCATCCATACATTTTAGGAAATATTATCTGGAAGAGTCAAGTGACTTCTCTCAGATCATTTATGAATAGAAACCAACAGATTAGAATTCTAGCAACATGTGCTCAGGCCTCTCTAGAGTAGGAAAACCATTTTTCTTTGGTATATGTCAGAAGCTACTCCTAAAAAACATATCTCTGTAAACTCCCTGGAAAATATGAAGCCTTGGCCATACGGCAGTTGGAAAGGTAAAATTTAAGCAAAGGGCAAAAACAGAAAGAGGAAAGAAAAGTCACCTTCTACCCTATTTGCTGAAGATGGTAATCTGAAAATTTTATATCAACGAATTGAGTGATTAAAAATGACACATTTTTATGGAGGTAACTCTGAGAAAGCTTTCCAGGATCTATTAACAATATCCTTCGGAAGAAAAAGACCGCTGTTTCCAAGGTAGGAAATTTATGTCATAGAAGCTAGAATTCTGCTCAAGTAGGTATATACTATTTATATGTAAGGATTCTCTGAAAAGCCTTAAGGATTCCAAAAAATATACTGAAGAATACTTATGTGAAAATGGATGAAGAGCAAGCATAGTCACAGACATACACAATTCCATTAACAAGTATGAAAGAAGTGGAAAGACCCTGGCATATGGGACAAAAACGGGATTTACGCTCCTTTATCTTTCCTATCTCTCTGGTTCTTTTCAGGTCTAGGAAAACCCAACATCCTTTACGACCTTTGGTGAACTCAAACTTGATTTGCTTTTGCACCACAAGGAGAACTAGGAGGTCCCTCATTTTATTCTGAAATCCAGTTTAGCACAACGGGAATTAGTACTTACCCTTGTCATCCTTCATGGATGCCCTAAAGCATTTGGCACTAGCAAAGGTCAAAGAACATGAGGCCTTGGTTAGATTTTTAAGGTTCTGATGGCCGTGGTTGGAATAGTATAGGTGGTGCCCCATTCCCTTCAGCAGGATGTGGATAATGTGAAACATTATCAATTCATATTGATTTAGAACAGAAAAGGACAGCTACCAGTTGCTGCATTTCTGAACATATCATCAAATTTTCTTTGAAGTCCTTCTTTCTCTTATGAGATGTCTGACCTACCATGCCTTTAAATGTCAGACAGACTGACAATGATTGATGGTGACAGTATCTCTGACTTGTATACTTAAGGGACAAAACTGGTTTCAGGAGACCCAGGGTTTACGTCTTAATGTTAAGCGGTGCTATTTTTGTGTGCCTGTCCAAGATCCACTATTTCTATGTAATTACTACTCTGCCTCCCCTGGCTCGGTAGACTGTAATGCAGACACAATAATTCCAGCTTACTTTTGTTCACAGTGGAAAGAAGGTAGAAGTCCAAGGAATTATATGTTGAAAACAAATTCAGTCATTCATAATTGAGAAGATGTTTTCTATGAGTCTCGAAGCATGAACAGAAATGTATAATCCACAAGGACATCCAAACACATTGTAATAAAAGTTACTTGCTATAAAAAAATAAATAAATACATAAAAGTAAAAAAAGTTATTTGCTATAAAGTAATAAGCATCTCCTCCTGTTTAATTCTTTTGACTTTTAACTCTAGCGTCACTTTTGTGTTAAAACCGTATTGTCTAAATAACAGTTTCAGTGTGAGGAGAGTAATAGGGGACAAAAGACAGACCATATTCGAATGGGCTAACTGGGAACAAAGTGGGACCTACGATTCTGGAATTGAAACTTGATTTGTGTTTTTCTTGTCTGAGTAGGAGTCTCGGATCTCGTGAGTAAGGAGTATGATCTGAGACACATTAGGGATTTCCATTTAAATGGGAGAGCTGGAGGTGAAGGACATGTCATGAGATTTATAAAACCAAATTAATTTGAATTCATTTATGATTTTCTTTTTTTTGGAACAGACAGACAGGATTGCATGTGGAGTAATGAAGATGGGATTTCCCAATAAAGGTCCTGGTCAGCCTCCAATGCCCCATTAGTATCCCCCAAGGAGGCTGCTGACCTGGTAGCCCTGGGGCAAGGGAAAGAGGAATCTGGCGGGGTTCCAGAATGGTTTCCCTAAAACCACCCACTTTTTTTTTTTTTTGGATATTGCAGCTGAGATGCCACGGTTGCACCACCCTAGACGTTATGAATTATTTTTCTTCTGGGGAAACCACATGATGTCACAGTTGACTTGTCATGAGCCGGTCATGCCATGATATGGCATTTACAGGCCTGCCCAAAGCTACAGAGTGACCTAGAAATGCAAACCAAAGATAGGGACAGTATATTTATTTGATGTAGGCTAATCAATCTTTCCTGGTCAAAGGTCTGGTTGGCACCATGGAAAGAACGTTGGCCAACAATCGCCAGTGGGACTTTCAACTTTTAGATGGTTCAGCTACGTCATGAATTTTAGCTACCGGTTGTTCATGTTCTTCCTAGCACCGTGTCTCTAACTACTTTCGATTCAGCTATTTTCAGCCAAGAGCCAGTCTGCAGGCAGGGTGTGCTCTTTTCACGAACTTAACTGTCCCTCCTGAACGTACCTTCAGTCTGTGTGCCTGTTAAGTACAGGTGTCTGTGCAGCCTTGGAGAAGCCCCCCAGCATTTGGAAACCCCCAGGATGCTCACAGTCACCAGGAGACGGAGAGCCCACTGTGCGTGGTTTGTCACAGATGGCTGTACCCCCTCTTCACAGAGTTAACTAGAGCTCTGCTGAGTCAGAGTTTCAAAAACAATGATGAGCTCAACTGAGCAAGGGCCTAGACTCAGAGCAGATATTTCCAAGTTTTCACAAAAGCAAATCTCAGCAGCTTTTTATATAATTCACACAGTAGGCATGCGAAGATTTTGGCACACAAAGCAGATTGGCAGTTCTCTTCTCATTTGTCGTAATGGATCATAACTCTGTAATTCACTGAAATGAGCTCACTCATTTCTGCTGGAACAGAAAGCCCTTCTTGCTATGAAGAGCTGAGTGAAGGAGTAATGGTGATAGGGTTTGATGGGTGGTGGTGGTTGGGGAAGATGATAAAGTGCTAGAGGCAGATGATGGTGATGTTGTGCATAATGCAAGTGTTCTTGATGCCACAGCCCTGTACACTGAGAATGGTGAATTTTACATTATGGGAATTTTGCCCTCTCTAACCCCCACCTCCTCCCGAGTCCCCGAAGAAAAGTATAATGAAAACTGCAGGCATGTAGGTTTTGGTGGGAAACTAGTGTTTCACTATTAAACACAGAAGAACTGTTCCTTCTCACAGGAACCTTTTCTTTCTGCTGCACATAAGGGAGTCCAGAATATTAGGGTATTGAAAAGCAGAGCTTAGGACCTAAAAATAAGAAAAGTTTTAAGTAATCCAAGAGGATAAATCTTCTTTTCTTTCCTTCTTTTTTAAGTTTATTTATTTATTTTGGAGAGAAAGTGAGTGGGGGAGGGGCAGAAAGACAGGGAGAGAGAGCATCCCAAGCAGCCTCCACACTGTCAGCCCAGAGCCTGTGGTGTGCTCAAACCCACGTGATATCAGACCATGACCTGAGCGAAACCAAGAGCTGGACACTTAACCAACTGAGCTACCCAGGTGCTCCGCGGATAAATCTTTCTTAATTAAATGGTAGAAACAATGTTTTCTAAGAATGAAAAAGTTGAAAAGGAGCTTAACTTCCAAAATGAACAAGAAGGCATTCAAAAAACACGTTCACCAAATTAGGGCTAGGGGCTGGTGATCTCTGAGGCCCTCAACCAGCACTGATTTTTGGATCTATTTTGATTCAACAGTTTAATTTGGGAGGGCCATTGCCAATGAGCTCCAGAATATTTGAAAGAAGATAAAGCATATTTTAAAATAGAAAAACAAAGCATTCTGACCATGGAAATATCTACATAATGAACCTGAAATTACATGAAGAATGTTAGTGGCCTCATTAAAAAACCAGATCAAGTTTAGGATTTTTCCCCCCAACTCTTTAGCCCATTGTCAACCCTTCAATTCTATATTTTAACAATGAAGAAATGGAGTGTTTGATATCCAAGCTACAAACCACTAAGGTGAATGAGACTTCTTAGGAAAAGGGATTATCAAAACAATGGCACAGGAGACTACAGTACAGCTCCTTCTGGGTTCAAGAAGGAATAGAATCGTGTTCAATTATAACGTCTACACTGGGGCATTAGGGAGTGGAGTGTCTGGGTCTAGATTAAATAAGACGGCTGATTAATTAGCATCACCTGGACTAACACTCTAACAAGACAGACGGTAAGCACAAATACCTCTAAATGCTTCACTAATAGTTCTGGTCTGGAAATTCTAACTCTGTCTGCCGTCTTAAAACTTTGACGTCAATCTGGAACAGAAGATGGGAGGACAGAGAGTATAGGTTTACTCATGTCTTTGAAGAAAAACGACCACTATAGGTAGGTTGAGGTGGCTCTTCAATAAATTATTCGAAAGGTAGAAGGGACTATTTTGAGTTTCAAGTCCCTCAAATGCAATGGGATAAAATTCAGGACACAGACAAGCAGCGCTTGCAAGGGAAAGCATTTTCTGGAAGCAAAGACTGAGGTTGCTTCTTTGCAACTTAAGGCTTAAGGGCCAGAAGCATAGAGGCACCATTGTTGTTTTAAAAAACAAAAACAAAAACAAAAAACGTTGAGGGCAGTAAGGTAGAAATTGTGAAGAGGGTTTGGTGGTAACATGATGGGGGAGTCACATGCTTCATGCATTTTCTGTACTCATATATTTGTAGTCAGTTCTGTATCAAAAAAGATGGGGGTGTTTCAGAAGGATACTTATTATGCAGCATAAATTAAGCCAAAAGGATATGATATGATATGATATGATATTTCTCAAAGTGAATAGTTCTCAAACATTAATAATGTATGGAAATGTCACAAAACCCCCACATGCTCACATTCTCAGACCAACACCAGTTTGAGAAAAAGTAATCTGACTCAGAAATTCTATGCATCTGAAGAATCACTATGAAAGAAGTGTATCTGGCAAGACAGTATTTCATCTATAGATGCAAACACAAAATTAAAATGTTCCCATAGATTTTTGAAATTCCTAAAAACACATGTGTTTTAAGCACTGTCTGTGGCTCCAAGTTTGGAAAACATTTTTCTAGTCTAAGATTTGAGTTTGTGGTCTCAATTCGAACATGAAAAAAATAGCCTCCTGTGGTCTGGTTCATAAAACTCATATTCTAAATTTCTTTTTAGATGATTAGACATTCTAGTCCAGCCCCCTATTAAACACTCGTTGTAGGTGCTTAACATAAATATGTTAAGTGAATGAATGAACACGTCCATACTAACACATTTTACCCTAAGTCTGCTTTCATAGACTCTGCCCCCACAACGGTGATCTACTTATTTTGCAGAGGACCCGTCTCCATACCCCTGCTCTTCTTAGGAAAGGTTTTCAGAAGAAATTTTCCTCTGCTGCTCTTCCCTTGTTTTGGACTTAGGAAAACAATAGTCAAACCAACAGTTCCAATCAATTGCCAGCTCTCTGTAGGCAGGAGGTGTGTAGCCACCAATTAGAAAGTGGATAGGTTGTTAACATACACATCAGAGAGACCTCATATCCTTTGGGAACAGACACAGGGTATGAACTAGGGACATCTTAAAGAAAGACTCTGGGTAGTTTGTATTGTAACATGGTTTATAATCAAGTGTACAACCTCTAACCCACTTTTTAGGAGAAATAGGAGAGGGAATACAATCCACAAATAAATATTTTTGAACTAAATAATACAACTCTTAATTCCATATAAAAAAGTTTAAAACCCAGAGAATGAATAGGTGTTACCTGAGGATATAAACCAGTTTTTGAGATGATGACCAGTACTGCTCATGGATGAACCCAGAGTTTATGATCACCAGCAGATCACTTTCTCTGGCAGTAAAGATATTTTCCTGGTGAACTACATCCAAGTCAAATCCTTAGCCACAATTTTTTCAGTTTCTGCTAACCTATGCCTCACTTATATCCAAGACCATTAAAGAGTTGAAAAAAACCCCTACATACACTGGGAGTTATTTTGGATTAATTTCTAGAAGTGAACCACTTTCCTCTTCTCCAAGGCCCATTTCTTAGATGATTAAAATCAAACAACACCAGAAACCAATGCTTAGCATTTGGTAATTAGAACATGAGGATACCCAAACGAAAAGCCTAGTTTCCAGGTTTGAATCCTAACAGCAGGATGAAAGTATGCTTCTGTGTGGGACTGGGAAATAGATGCATTGCGAATTTTCCTCCGTAGTTGCATCTTAGCACAGCTAATGTGTTGGACAGAAGGGGCCGTGTAGATTTTAGATGCTCCTGGAAGTGTATTTTCAGTATGTTTGGAAGTCTGCATGTTTACATAAACTATTTTGCTCTCTGTATACACAATGTACAATTATTGAAATGGAAGGAAGGAGGGGAGAGAAAAAGATAGTGGAAGTTAGTTAAGAACTCTCAAATTCGTTAATTATAACTTTCCTGCAACCAACAAAACAGGACTTTCCAATCGTTTCTTTGTTTTGAAATAAATACTGTGGGTGTGTAGCTACCAAGGGGGGAGTGGGTAGGGGTGGAAACGGAAGGAGAGAAGACACTCACCTAGTTCGGGTGCTTTGCTTAGCACAAATGCATAAGCCCAGAATTTGCTGACAGGTCCATTGTAAAAACCCTGGTCACAAACTGACTGCTTCAGGCCTTTGGTCATCAAAATGTACACCATATAAGCACCAGTTCGAAGAGCACCGAATATACTTCATGATGAAAAGAGAAAAGAAACAACATTCAGGAAAATAATTTCATTTCTGACATTACCTATGCTTAGAAGACTGTCTGCCACTGATGGGAAGAAGGTGTAAACGACTCATAATCATCATTTGCATTAACCTGGAAGTATCTTAATATGTTTTGTAAACAAGAGCAACAAAATTTCTCAGTGCTTTATTCTGAAGAGCATACACAGTGCCGCTTATTCTTCATCAACATACCAAAAAGGGTCCATGGAAAAGGGGAATGGATCCAGGGCAGGCTCTCACGAGGAATCCTGGTGACTTTTGTGTTTCAGCTTGAGAACTATCCTTTGGGAATGAGATAGGGTTGGCTGAAAACTCTTGAAATTATCTCAGGTCTGTCCTATTGATGAGGTTTTGGGGTAATGGTGGGGAGGTCTGGTGCTGACGACCAAGAAAGAGTTCTTGAAGCCATCTTTAGTGCAAAAAGGTGATTTTATTAATGTACGAGGACTGGACCCATGGCAGAAAGAGCTGCCTCGGGACCTTGAGGAGAGTCTGGTTATACACTCTGGGGTTGGGGGAGGTAAAGTCCAGGGGAAGTTTCCAATGAGATTTTCATATGCTAAGGAAGACTCACAGGATACTGGAGGCCTAGCTATTGTCAAGCTAAGGTTGTTTTTCCCTCTAGCAAAGCATTAGCATTAAGAGAGTAGGGAGTTCCTGGAGAAACCTTTTATTCTTCCTGCCTCAAGCATTTGTCAATGTGTTGCAGGTTATAAGGACATTTAATTTAATCTGCCATTTCCTTCTGCCTTTGTTTCCCATATCACTATGTCCAATCATTTTCGAAGTCCCCCCCCCCCCATTGCCTGAGTATCTGTTTATTTCTCAGCCAACCCTTTCTTTACACTTGGGCTGGCCTTATCGATGTAGACCTCCTTGGCATCTTTTTGGACCCCAGCAGCAGCTTCTAAACCACCACTATAGGGGCGCTTGGGTGGCTTAGTCGGTTAAGCGTCCGACTTTCGCTTAGGTCATGATCTCGCGGTTCGTGGGTTCGAGCCCCACGTCGGACTCTGTGCTGACTGCCAGCTCAGAGCCTGGAGCCTGTTTCAGAGTCTGTGACTCCCTCTCTCTCTGACCCTCCCCTGCTCATGCTGTCTCTCTCTCTCTCTCCCTCCTAGAAATAAATAAAACATTAAAAAAATTAAGAAAAAAACCACCACCACTATATTTGCTTACCCCCCTTCCACTCTCTAATCTCTCTCCCAGAAGCCGGAAGGAGAAGGCTCAGCTCTATTGTCACCTCATCCAGGAAACCACTCAGGTTCACTCCTCTGAGCTCTCGATAACCACATACTAACACTGTTAGAACCCCGTAATGTGTTTGTCTCCACACAGGCAAAGGTACTCAAAGGCTGTTGAAAAACAAACTGACTCATGACATTTTTATTAAGGAGCCTTTAAGGAAACAGGAGAGCTCTGGAATGTGTTGAACTCAGTGAAGCAACCCGAGGTGTGAAAGATCTTTGCAGCTGGAACAGGCAGCCTCCCTTATGGACTGACCCCCCCGCCCCCCAGATGTACGTACCAGAGCATGCAGACCACATGCACGGCAAAGTAAAGCTGGCGGACCATGTGGGGAGATGTACTTGGCCATCATTTTTCTGGCACTATCCCCTTCTAAGGGTCTAAGTCAGTTAGGAGATTAACCAGTGAACAACTGTTGAAGTGAGTAGCAGCCTCACCAGACTGGGAAATAGGAGCTTTCATTTCTCTTCAGAGGCACTATTGTTTATTCAACAAGACTTAAGAGTTTGCTTCTGAATAAGTCATGACCTGAGCGGAAGACGCTTAACCAACTGAGCCACCTAGGTGCCCCCTGGCGACTGTTTATTGGGACTCAGTAAGTAGCCTCTCTAAGGATATACAGCCTACATTAAATGGAGTTACTCTTTCCAACATATAAAATGATTCTGCCTAGGATCTATCTAATCCTTTAGTGGCTTCCTTCTGCACACAGAATAAAATCCACAAGCTCCTTAACACAATCTACAAGGCTGTGAATGGTCTTTTTGTCCCCCACCTCCACCCTTCCCACCTGCCATTCTCTTCCAGCTGACTGTGATCCAATCATTCCAGCACTTTCTTAGCCTTTCAGTTTTCTGCCTTAGGAACTTCGCGTAAGAAATGTCCTCTTAGGGAGGAGTTTCTTTCTCGGTTCATTCAAGGGTGTTCCTTCTCAAAGGTGTCTCAAGGGTGTTTCTTATCTCAAAGAAAGGTCCCCTCCTAGTGGGATGACCTACGTCTTTATAGTCAATAAACTGTCCTAATTTGGGAGTGGAGATTTGGATTTCATTGTAAACTCAGGTAATGAAACTTTTTCTGTCTTCTTTGAATTGATTTTTTAGGTGTTGTCTTTACCTCAACAGATGAGGGTTAAATTATGAGAAGTTGCCACTATCACCAAGTTAAGGTAATTAGCACATAGGGCCCTTGGGTTTTGCTGCTACGAAGGGAATATGGAAATATGGATGCAACATCTCCACTGAGCATATGCAGCAGACACTGTTGGTTGCCTATTCAGAAGCCAAGCTCCTTCCTCTTTCTCCATATTGAAAGAATCCTGATTTTGTCATTTCTCCCAAGAAAGTGACATTATCTTCAATTTAGGGATAAATCCTAATTACTTAAGCAAGTTTTAGTAATTCCCTTTCCCTTCCCAGTGATTTATTAGGGTGGGCACTGTCCCACTTCCCACGTCAAGCCAGCAGATGTGAAGACAGAGCTGTGTATGGGTGGGGACGGCGGGGGGGGGGGGGGGGGGGGGGAGGTGGGTGGGAAAGGTTTACTTGCTCTTTACTGCGTATTGCCTGCAGTCACAGCAGCTGATTTCCAAACAGGAGGGAGCTGCCGTGGACACAAAGCTGCCTCTGAGAGGATGGCAAAGTATTCCTTCAAGATGTAACGGAGCTGTGGGATTAACCAATCTTTCAATGTCTCTAGTGCAAGGCTTCTGGTTTTTGATAAAGCTTTCTTTCTTAGTGTATAAGTCCTTTGGAGTTTTGTTTTCTATTACGTGCATCCCAGCAGACACAACACACAAGATCTGATTTTTGGTAGACCTTTGAACACCAGTTAACGTTTTCGTGGCTGTTATGATACATCTAAGTCAAGACACTACTTGCTACATCAGTCATCCCCTTTCCATAAACCAGTGGGAGACAAGCCGATGACTTCTGCACAAGCCCAAAGCAGAGAAACACACAAGTGACACACCTTCAACATGTATCAGGTCTCTGCTCTTTGTCCCTGGTCTAAGGCTTTTCCAAACCATCAGCATATTGTCCAGAGCACGTGGCTCCTTGCCAACTCCGGACCACTGAACACAGCAAGCAGAGCTACTCCTCTACTAGGTTCTGCTGCTAGACTCTGTATTTCACACATGATCAGATCAGGTCCAAGGACAAACTTCCGGAATAGTCACTATCTTTTCATTTTCTTAAGTCTCAAAATTCAAGGTAATTTATATCCAATTTCTTAAGTATGGGCACAGTTTGATTTATCCCTTCAACTGTACTGGCAATGCCCTAAGATGCCGAGGTGACATGAATCCATAACTCTGGTTAGTGATGGTGGTGGTCCTGGAAGACTTCAGAGGAAGCAGTATTTGCCTTAGGGATAAATAGGTATTCGAACTTTAAGGGTAAGCGTACAAGGAGGACATCTCAGAGCACTGCAGAATTAAAAGTTTAGGTATCATGATGTTGCCACAGTATTGCTGGCAACAAAGGTACAGCACATATTATTGTCCCATATCTGGACATAAGCCTCCCTCCCTAAGCTCTGAACAATAAGGCTGACTCAGAACAGAGGACAGTGCATTTTTCAGGGAAACGGTCAGTGCCAGCCATCGGGACTATGTGTCTGAGGGCAAAGGCGCTTTGTTGTGATGTGACAATGCTCCTGGTGGGGAGCCCGGGGAGCTGCTTAGCCAATGGGATGATTGTTATTTGTGGGAAGCCTGTAGCTCTGTCCCTGGCACATCTCAGCCACTGTATACTTTGAAACCATGTGGCTTTTTTATTTTAAGTGGGCACTGGACCCTTAGGCTAGGATAGTTTATATCAAAATATACTTTGGAGCAGGAGACATTTTTCCTCCCTAAGTTACATCATCTTGAGAAACATTGTGATATAAAAGATAAATACACCATTCATGTTCTGCTATCCCCGGTCCTTGCTTCTACCAACAGCAGACATTTCTAGTCGATCTTGACACTCTTTCTGCCTAGATATGGCATCAACACTCTCAACCACTCCAACCCATTCCAACAGATGAGAGCTGCAAATTCTAGTCACAGTGCTCTCACTTGCTCGTTTCATGGCTGGGCAAAATAACTTCTCTAAGTTTTTATTATCTGAAATGTTAATAATCTCAAGTGCATACTAGTTCTATGAAGTTTATAGAATGATATAAGTAAGGTATTTAGTTAGCATAGAGCCTCTGATAAAATGGAATAAAACAGTTTTTATTATATTATTGCTACTTTATTACTATTTATTATTGTTCTTAATGCTGCTTTACTTGGTCTGTCCTTTAGTTTGGGAAAGCACTTTTTAACTTCCAACCTCACTGTGTCAGGTAAGAGAGGTTAAAGCTAACTAGCCCTAATTGAAAGTCAAGAAAATACATATACAGAGAATTTGATTTGCACTGATGATTGATCATGTTATTAAGTGTTTTTATACAAAGTGTTTATTGTTAAGTGTTTCATTAGCCAACTTTTCATAAAAGAAGTCACAGGCAGCGAGTTCAAAATCGGATGTGAAATCAGCATTTCGCATAGAACATCTTGACGGAGAGACTGTTGGAACAGAAAAGCATCTGCTTCATGTAAAATGTATCTTTCAATCAGATGATAAAGATTATTCTAAATCTAGGGCCTCAAAGAAGCTGAGAGTCTGGGCCATTGTGTTTAATGAGGGCAGATTAGTGCTCTAGCACATGTCTTTTCCCAG